CTGCTGATGTCTTCACCAAGGCACTTGCGCCTTGTGATCATCGGCGCTTCTGCACTCAGTTGGGGCTTGTGCCTGTCTTGCCTCACTTGCTTACTTCTTGACCTTGCTTGTACTGTCACATATATATACTCTTGCTCTTGCTTGTTTAGCCTTTTGTATATCTATATGTGATCTTGCATGTGAACTGACCTTCTGGCCTTTGAACTTGTGCTCGGAATGTGTGGTGACTTTGTGATCCACCCTGAGCTTTGCCTTGCTTTGCTTGACTGGTCTTGTGACCCCTTGTTCTCCCCCACTTTGCCTATGGGGGTGTGGTAGAACATTATAGCTTACTCACTTGTGTAGGCTATAGTGGGGTATCCCATAGGGGGTACAACCCAATTAGGGTTTTCTATTTGTACTCACTTCGTTCATAGTTCATTTCATTCTCGCTCACTTCTTCTCAGAATGAACAGTGCCCATGACCTAAACATGGATACTCCCTTAGAGCCTTTTCGGCTTGTTTCTTGCGCAAAGAAAAGTTCGGAGCCTATGATTTCGGCTGTTTTGCCGACAAATGCTTAGAATGCGCATCAATCCCTACAAGCGTAGGGGAAATCACTCAACAACCTGAATGTTACTGCATATTAGAGTGGCTCAAGTTGAAATACACTTGTATAATATTAACACAAAAAGATAGAGAATGAAGCAGACACTGCCTAACCGTGATAATGTACCCGCTACGAGGTTCTCATTTTGAAAATTTGAAATTCGTCGAAGGACAGGACTCGGATCAGGCTTTCCCCACGTCCTTCTTTCTGCCATCCCATAACCTTTCCCCGATTGCTTCCTCTTTCGTTCATTCAGACTCAGCCCGTGTAGAACGTTCGTCGCCCATAAGTCTCCGCAAGACAAATAAGAGCGAAGCTTGTCGTTGATTCGAATCTTCGTAGGTTTCGCACTCATTGGTCGTTACCCTCCAGTTCTCCCTTGACCTTTTTGAAAGAAGCTTCTCAGCTACTAAGCACGATGTTTGAGGCGCGTCTAGTTCAAGGAAGCGTGTTAAAGAAGCTTCTTGATGCGATCAAAGACCTCGTCACTGATGCTAACTTCGACTGCTCCTCCACTGGCTTCTCACTCCAAGCCATGGATTCTAGCCACGTTGCACTCGTTGCGCTTCTCTTGCGAGCAGATGGGTTTGAACACTACCGATGCGACAGGTGAGGAACAATCAGGCGTTTCTCATTGTTCAAACGTGGATACTCGCGTCCATAATGGCCACAGAGAGGGTGTATGAGCTGACGTTTAGCAACTGTTGTGCTGCAGGAATCTCACTTTGGGGATGAATCTGGTGAACATGGCCAAGATGCTGAAATGTGCAGGCAATGATGACATCATCACAGTGAAGGCTGAAGACGACGGCGACACAGTCACCTTCATGTTCGAAAGCCCAAGTAAGCTTCTCCCTTTTCCAACAAGCAGGGTCCAAAGTAGACTGTCGAGGTCAACACGTGGAACGGTAGTACCTTGGATGCGAATCTATAATTGACAATCGATGGGTTGCTCGGTGGAATGATTGTTGATTCTGATGGCTGGAAAATGATGTGTTGTTTACCAGAGCAAGACAAGATATCTGATTTCGAGATGAAGCTTATGGACATTGACAGCGAGCATCTCGGCATTCCCGACGAGGAGTACGATGCCAATATCAAGATGCCAGCAGGGGAGTTCCTCCGCATTTGCAAAGACCTCAGCTCCATTGGCGACACAGGTGAGGGATGTTCTTGTTTTGCTGTTTATGTGCGGCGATGATTCTGATTCGAAAGGTGTCTGTTTCCTGTCTTCAACACCCAACTTGTTTCATTGAGCTCCTAATTCGTACGTCCACTTTATATTCTTGGTGCAGTAATTATAAGTGTGACTAAAGAGGGTATAAAGTTCGCTACATCAGGCGACATTGGTAACGCCAATATAGTCTGCAGACAAAATTTGAATGTGGATGAGGTGAGCAAGTGACATGCCCACTCCTGTCCTAATGTTCATGCCCACTGTGCACTTCATGAACTCCTCCTGTCTTAACGTTCTGCATATCTGCCGTATGATTTTGCAGCCTGATGATGAAACGGTCATTGATATGAGGGAGCCCGTTTCACTTACATTTGCATTGCGGTACCTAAATTCCTTCACCAAGGCGACTCCACTGTCTGGTGTTGTCAGACTGAGCATCTCCAAGGACCTTCCGATCGTTTGTGAATATGCCATTGCCGACATGGGCTACCTTCGATTTTATCTAGCACCAAAGATTGAGGATGAAGATGAAGCCAACTCATGAGGTGTGTGCACTATCTGTCACTTATATTCATTGGGACACATGCTCAGGCACATGCTAGTGAGCATGGTGGTGGGAGGGTATTCACGTAGGGGTTTGTATGCGCTTGAGAGGGAGAGGAGGGAGGGGGAAGTACAAAGTGGTGGGATAGTAGGGGAAAGGTTATTGGGGGTTTGAAGGTTGAGCTACTGAACGTCCAGTGTGCACCGACGGGGGGGTTGGGGGAGAGGGGGAAGGGGGAAGGGGGGCGGGGGGAAGGGGGGGGATGTAATGCTCTTGAGAAATTCTTCGCAAGAAAATGTGACAGAAGAGATGTGAGGAGGACAAGGAAGCGAGGGGGTGGGAAAGGAAGCGGGAGGGGGAATGCTTGAGAGGGAGTTATGCCATGAAGAGTCTTGTTAGAGGGGTTTGTCTAGCAGGGCGGGTGTGAGACGCAGAGCTTGTGTCAAGCTTGTGGTATTGTAGGTCCAAGCCAAGGCTGATGGGTTCTTAACTCGTGGATTCTTATGCTTTTGCCTTGGTGTCGACAGGAACCAAGATCTCCGGAAATATCGTGTTACAACCAAATTGAACTGTGTTCCACATTTTAAGTTGAGTGAGTTGAAGCACTAGGCGTAGAGATGACCGGAATTGCAACGTGTTGGATTGGAATGCAGATTAGCCTCTGTATTCTAGTGAACCCAATCAAACAAAAACCTGTTACCTTGCTTGGTGAGAGGAACAGGGCAGGAAGGATCACAGGATTTAGAGTGAGGTAAACTGGTGTGAACTATTATCAAGCAATATTTCAAGAAAATAATTCCCTTCAATCAGCACATTATTATTCAGTGTGAAAGTCCTGTTAGCAGAAATCAACATGCTAAAGCTAAGCAACGTGTAGAAGCAGAGCCCTCCTCGGCAAAACCGAGAGCAGCCTGGCAGCATCGCGATGCTGCCAGGCCGAGTGCTCTCGGCAAAACCGCGATGCTGCCAGGCCGAGTTCTCTGCCGTATATTTTCGATTGTGATGAAGATAGCTCTACATTTTCCTAGTGTCGATGTTCAGGCGTTGAACCCGTCAACCTCCCCACAATGACTCTGCAAAGCCAGCTTTTGCACTCTATTTCGCCGTTGAAGAAACAAGAGTGCAGCCTTCTATGGTCAATGCTATTTGCCATGGTTGCAGGATTTGCGTGCACCCTCGTCCTCGTAAGATTGCCAATTACTGATAAAGTCACAGCCATTCAGCAGCCTGAGACCCTTCCGACTCCAACGAAGAATGTAACGTTCAGAAGAGCCAAGGCTTTTTACCTCAACGTTAAGTACGCGGATTTGAATTGGATTCAGAAGCATACATTGAAGTATCAGACAGACGCTGCAACCCAGAAGTATGTTCACGACCTTGGAAGCCAGAATGATTATGTGATGCTTCACTTGGCTCATCACAAAACAGGTAAGAGACGCTTGCAAACAATCAAACTGGTTCCACAACTAAGCTCGTTACGGTACAGGCACTGCTTGGTTCTCTCGAATCTTCAGCATTTTCGGAATACGGACTAATATGAAATTCGTCAAAGGCGACATTCAAAGCTGCATCGATTCAGAATCCAAGATATGCCAGGTCCGGATCATGCCCGTTACGCTTGGACACAGAAGGTAATACAGCTCTCTAACGTTTGTACCAATCCTTTCAGATCAACAACGCGGCTCTAGGCTCCCTTAAACTTCTGGGTGACAAAAAATACAAGGCCATTATGACCGTCCGAGATCCCAGGGATGTTGTGGTCAGTGGATATTTCTACCACAAAACAACACAAGAACCCTGGGTGCATGAGCCACGCAGCGAGTATGGAGGGAAATCCTATCAGCAGGTGAGCACCTCACGAAGCAATCAGATGAATAAGTTTCTAAGCGTAGGAGAAGTTCAAGCATGCCTTGGTCAGATGCTGAACAACGTGAGCAAATCCGCTGGGATCAATATGGAAGTTGACATGATCACTGGAAGCACTTGGAGGAACGACACACAAGGTGAGTCCGGAATCAGTGTCCATATACTAATGTTAACAACGAATAACCACCATTGATGTCTGACGCAGGTGCATATGCAACTGTTTTGAAAGACTTTCTGAGAGTCAGAGATTCTCGGTTTACATTGGTACGCTATGAAGACATTTGGTACCAAGAGCAAAGAAGGACAGGCTCGGCTTTCGCCTTGACGTTTTATGCACTTTGAGTCTCATTGTGCAACTTCTTTCAGGTATGGATTGAATAACAGCCTTCTTCTGAAGATCTTCGTCCAAAGTGCAGTGAAAGTTGGTCAGGAAAGTGCAGCTTACCGCTCTGTTGCTCAAGGGGTGCTTTCTGCAGACGACAGAGGGAAGGATCACTTCAGGAAGGGCACACCAGGAGATTGGAAAAATCATTTGACAAAGCAAAACAAGGGCTACATCCGTGAGAAGCTGGGGTCTCTGTTGGTGGACCTTGGTTATGAGAAGACTATGAGTTGGTAGTGGCAATGTTTAAAAGCTGACATGATTGTGTATTGGAACTGACAGGTATATTGAAAAAACAACATACATACTTCTTGTCCCCAACAAGTTGAAAGACCGCTGAGGCTACAGATGTCCTGGTATATTGGATTCAAACATTCTTACAACAAACATGATGCAACGTCACATTCAAACAGCCAGTGACGTCAATCATTTCCGTGATCATCACTCCAGATCATGGTCTTTGCTCAAAGAGCTCCCTTCAACAGCTACAGCATGCCTTGGCTTCTGAATCTTTATCACCAGGGGCTGCTTTTTTCTTTGAGTTGCAGGCACCTTCGTACCACCAGGACTGCCAATGGTTGCTGAAGTGGCTTTGCCTTGCGGTGCAGGATCCTGTGTGCATTTCTCACCCGTGGCTTCCCCTGTGACATCCGTGCATGTGCCAACTTCATCAGTGACACCAGGCACACCACCTTCCATTTGAGCAGCACCAGAATTGGCCAACGTTTTGCCCTTCACACCTTTCTTGGAGATGCCTTTTTGACTGACTTGGTTGGACCTGCCTGATCCCGCTTTGTCCACTGAAACTGGTCCCACTGTTACTGCAGCAGCCTTTGTCCCACCTTTAGGTGCTGAACTCCCCAGCTTCAGTTTCGGAATATTTTGTGGAGCACCAATTTGAACAACTTTGAGTGAACCCTTCCCACCCGGATTCACTCCTTTCTTCTGCCCTCTTCCTCCCACTCCAACAGCAGATGCAGCACCAGTGGCGACTCCTGGATCAGATGGATTAGCAGCATCTGCTAGCGTTGTTTGAGAAACTCCAGCTTTGGAGGTTGTTGCTGTTCCTGCTTCAAAAGCGGGTGCCGTACCCTCCCGCTGTGCTGCTACTCCTTCCATCTGCTGCTCTAGTAGCTTCACAACTGAGCCTCTGTCTTTGCCCTCCCCAAGCTTCCTTTTTTTCACAGGCCCTATACCCGTTCCACCCATAGCCACTGAGCCTGCAGCTCCTTTGCCCGGACCAGACAAAGCAACTTTAGCTGCAGCTGCCTGTACACCCTGGCCTGATCTGGCATCGGTCTCTTCAGGTGTGTTTGTGATCGGCTCTCTTTTCACAGCAGCCGTTTTTCTGGCAAGGAGCTTGGCTGATCCTTTTCCTGTGGACCCGTGTCCTGATGCTGGCAAATTGCTTGTACCCACTCCTCCAACACCCTTTCCTACTGATGCAGCCCCCACTGTCCCTGTCCTGTCAGAAATCGTCCCCTCTCCAGCCACATTCTTTTTTTTAACTGCTATTGCAGACTTGACTGGTATGACTACTTTGACTTCCTTGACCACAGCAGGTGGTGCCTCGAATTGTGCATGTGCTAAAGCTGGCGGTGCACTTTGCCGCCACTGAGCCACCCTGTTCGCTGTTGCCTTCTTGGCTTGACTGGCCTTTGCATCGACAACGTCTGGCCCTGCCACTGCTGCTGGTCGTGCTGCTGCTGCTGTGGCTACTGTGGCTGCTGCTGCTATTGTTGCTGGTGTCGGTGCAGGTGCATCCTCGTCAGCACCACCGACAGCAGCATCAGCAGACACATCTGGGGCAGCAATACGTCGAGCACTCTCATCAGCAACAACCACTGCTCTTTTCCTTTTCAGCACTGCTCTCATACTTTTTGCTCCAACCTCGCCACTAACACTGACACCTGCTGTCTGCTCGCCTCCTCCAGCAGATTTCCTTACCACCCCACTCGTTCCCGCCTCCTGTCCTCCCAGCTTCCCAGAATTCCCACCCGTGTCTTTGCGCACAGCCCCAGCCACTGCCATTACTGCCTTCTTCTGCACAGACGTCCCCTGCCTGGCTCCTCTGTTGGGTCCTTGATGAGAAGTTGATGGAGTGCCTTGATGCATTTGAAGAGCCGAATGAGACATCGATAGACTCTCATGAATCGATGGAGCAGCAGGAGTTGAGGCTGTTTTTTGAGTCTGCTTCGTCTTGAGAACAGGTTGAAGGCCAGCTTTGACTGCAGCTATGGAAGGAGGCTTAGCGGGAGGCCTGGCAAGAGGCTTGACGGAGGGCTTGGATGTGGGTTTGACAGACCTTGACAAAGAAGGGCCAGTGGATGGGGATGCTTCCTGGGCCGACGTAGCCACAGCCGCGAGCTGCTTCTTTCCCTCAGGGACGACCTTTCCTGCGTCATTCTGCAGTGATAATGCCGGCCTGCTCCCCTGGCGCAACGGTGCCGCCTTACCATCTACTGCTCCACCTGCTTTTCTTTTTCTTACAATCTCTCCACCATCTCTACGCCCACCGGAACTGCTCTTACAATGCTCCGCACCTCGTTTTCCGTCACGCTTAATTCTCCACTCAATAACCTTCCCATCCTCTTCCTCCTCCCCATCCCACTCCTCCTCTCCATACATCTCTTCCTCAGAAGCTTCTCCGGCAGGGGCCATCACAACACCCAACTCCCTCACCCCATGCTGACGCCTCTCTTCCAGCCGCACGTTCTGCTGCAAAACCACCTTCTCACTTCCGTTTCCATCCACCTGCACCTCATCCTCCATTCTACGCACCTGCTGTTCACCCCCCTCCACATCCACCCGCTCACAGCCCTCACCACTTCCATCCACCACCTTACGGCCCTTCCCAAAGCTACCTCGTTTTTCATTTCTATCCTCCTTCTGCTTCCCCTTAGCAGATGAACCAGTGATGGCAGCGCTCGGTGCATATCTGACTCCGTCTGTGCGGCTGCACCCCGTCCAACCGTTCACTACTCCTTCATACACTGCTGCTTCTGCCGCTGCTCCTGTTGATGCTTCTGTCGCTGCCGCTGCCTCATGGTCTCCTGTTCTTCTCTTGTCTGCTTCGTTCACCCCGTCTCCATTGCACCCCACGCTGTGACCTTCCAAAAACGTACTCTGCCCGACATCCTCCCCTTCTGTCTGCTTTCTCTTCAAGCCAGCCTGGAAGCGCCGTGCCAACTTCGGGAGGCGAGCAAGCGGAGGCTTGAGGATAGGTGCAGCACCAGTGGGGGAGCAGGAAGGGAATTTTGGGGGATGAGAGGAAGCCGGGAGACGCTCCTCCGCAGCATCCGGGACAAGAGAACGGGATGGAGAAGCAGCAGCAGCAGCAGAAGCAGCAGCAGTCTGGGCTGGAACAGCAGGGGGAGGAGCATCACGGGAGACAGCTGCAGATGGCGATGCAGCGGTTGCAAAAAGAGCTTGTGCATCGGTGGAACGCACTCTGCAAGGTGAAGGACGCTGCTCCATCCGCCTTGCAGGGCTACATGCGGATGTGACAACAGCTGCAGAAACAGCTGCTGATGAACCAGCTGCTGTAGGTGACTTCGGTGCTGTTGCTGTGGTGACCTTCGCCTCGGTTTCTGTGCCCGGCACCAGAGCTTGTTGACCCTCAGATTCCTCTCCGTTCAAGGCTGTCCCTCCTTGCGACTGCTTCCCCCCTTCTGCCAGCTCCTCTGCCCGTGCCTGTTCCTCCGCCTGCACTTTCATCTGTGCCTGCGCCTGTTCAGCAGCAGCAAGAGCGGCCAGGGACCGGCCATGCACCAGAGCATAAGCCACTTCCAGCAACTGGGTGCTCAAACCATGCAGCCTCGTTCTCCATTCCTCCACCTCCTCTTCCTCGTTGCACCTTCCTTCCTGTGGCACTGCCCCCCCTCCCAAATGCTCCACTACTTCACCTGCCTTCCTGTTTTCAACAAAACTCGTACCAGTAACTTGCATTCCCTGTCCTGCCTCCCCGCCTCCCCCTCCTCCCACACTCCTCCCCAGCACCTCCACTCTCACGCCAGACCCCGCAACTTCTCTCGCAGCAGCTTTCATCCACTTCATACCCAACGCTCCTCCCCCACCACTCACTCCCCCCTTCTTTCCTCCCCCTAGAACTTTGCCAAAGGGAAGCTCCCCTGAGGCCTCCCGCTCTAGGGCCTGGGCTGATCGAAGCAGGGCTAGTGCTCGATCTGCATCGCTTTCACTTGCCTTAGCTTTGAGAAGAAGCAGATTGACACGAGGGGGAGTCAGTGAGGGGAATGGGGAGGACGGGGGCCTAGCAGAGAACGGGGAGGGAGAGAAAGTGGTGCAGATGGGGTTGCCTGGAAAAGAAGGAGCATAAGAGGGAGTGGAAGGGACGGACGCGGCAGCAGACCCAGCAGCGGGTGCACCGGTGGCTGAGATTGCACCAAAGGCCTTTGTGCTAGTGCTGGAAGGAAGAGCCAGGGGCGATCGTGATTGCATGGGATTGTGGAGCGGAGCAGTTGCATCAGAGGCAGAAGAAGGGTATGGTGCTGGTTGCATAAGAGTTCGGCCTTGCAGCAGTGGTATAGTAACTCTGAGCCCTCCCCTCGTCATTACTGGGACAGGCCCTGCTGCTCCTGTTTCTACACCTACTGTTGCTGGTGTGGATGGTTGACCCACTCCTTCCTTTCCCTCTCCACCTTCACATACTTGACCGCCCACACCTGTTTTGTCCACACACTTTTCGCCACCCCTCTTACCATCTTCCTCTGCTTCCTTTGCCTCGTCTTTGACCTCCTCATCCACTTCATCCTCCTCCTCCTCCTCCTCCTCCTCCACATCATCATCAGATATCAAATTAAGTACCGAATCTTCACTATCACTTCCACCAACCGAGTCTTCTTCAGTTCCTTCCAAACACTCTCCTTCCATTAAACCTGGCCCCCCGTTATCGTCCTCTTCCTTTTCTGTCACGCCAGCTCCCTTACACAGAAGAGGAGGCGTGGCAGACGGCAGGTCGGAGAGTGAGAGCGGGTGCAGCCAGGGGAAAAGAGGCCAGGCAGAGACAGGGAGGATGTCTGAGAGAGCGCCAAGAAGGGCATGCGACCAGCACAGCATCGTGTGAAGGTGCATGCGCTGGGCGAAAGCAGCACCTCGCCTCAAAGGAGAAAACGAAGGGAGGGTGGAGGGATGGGAGGTGGAGGATGGGAAAGGGAGGTCGGGGAGATCATGAAGAAGCAGGGAGGAGGATGCTGATGGAGTGTGGTGAATAGCCGAGGGTGGAAGCGAGGAGAACGGTAGTGAGGGTTGCGATGCATCTTGACTGGGTGTGGTTTGGGTTATACAGGTCTGGGTTGGGTTGGAGGTGTTGCAGGGGGTAACTGGATGCTTGGGAAGAGGGCATGAAGGAGCTGGAGGGCAGGAAGGAGGAGAAGGGGAGGGAGCTCGAGTCCTGATTTTGGCAGCAGCTGACGCAAAAAAGTCGAGGTCACCCTTCTGAGCGTACAGCTTGAGAGCTGACAGCACGTGCCTGTGCGTGGGAACAGAGAGCAAAGAGCAGAGAGGACACACAGAATGATTTCAGGATCGAAGTGTAGACCCCACAAGAATTACCATAGTGGCACCTGTGGATGAAGCGGTGTGGACACATGCGGTGCGGGCAGGCTTTTGCTTCCCAAATAAGACAAATGCAGCTGCGCTCACCATTCTGTCATATCAAACCAGCTCCTCTCCTGCTCCTCCTCCCAAGCCAAGTGCTGTGCTGCTGCGTCGTCCTTGTCACCAGTTCTATCCTCCCCACCCCTGGTCACCGTCTCAACGTATGCAGCCCTGGACAGTCGGAGCACCTCAGCTGCTTCGCCCCAGATAAAGACGTTGTCCAGGTAAAGCATCATTAGCCTGTCCCCTATTGAAGCTTCTGCCGGCTCATTCCCTGGTTCACCTTCTGCTCGCCGTAGACATGCCGAAGCGCCATCAGCAGCACCGCCAGCAGCAGCGGCAGTTGATGCGCCGGGAGCAGCAAGACCCAGTACGTGAACAGTAGCAGCAGTGGGAGAAGCATCAGCACCGGGGGAAACCGCAGCAGGAGGAGCAGCACATGAAGCGGCAGCCTCAGCAGCACCAGCTACTGCAGCAGCAGAGCTTTCAGGTGGAACAGCAACAGAAGGAGCCGGTATCGCAGATGTAGCAACATCAGGCACAGGACCAGGCACAGTTGTGGGCATGGCGCTTGTTGAGGGGCCAATGCCTAGCGCAGCAGCGGTGTGTTGTTGAGTGGTTTGCTCAGAGGATGGGTGTGCGGAGGCATGAAGCGAGAGCACGAAGAGGGCGAGAGCTAAGGGCACTAGGTCAACGAGAGCTGTGGAAAACTGAAGGAAGGGCACAAGGGGAGGGAAGGCAAGGAGAGAAGGTACAAGTGAGAAACAGCCTTGGTACTTCGTGTCCCCTGCTTAGTGAACTGAAAACATAAATTGGAGAACGACTGACTCAAGTACAGCCAGGAGAAAGAGAGACTTGCCTCTTTGTCAGTCTTGAGAGTGGAAAGCGCCCCTTCCAAGGCAGCAACATCGCCGGTGTAGCAGCAGAGCCTGAGGTACATCATCAGGTACACTCGCACACAAGTCATGAACTTCCGAGAGCTCTCAGCCACCTCCACGGACGCCAGCCCCACCACTTTCCTCCTCAACCTCGCCCCCTTGGACCCGCCTTTCGGCCTCGGAGCGTGCTTCGTGTGGATGCAAATCTCCCACATGTTCATCGCAAATGCCACTTTGGCCTTCCGGAAGCAAAACCCGAGCTCTGATTTGGCCCGCTCCAAGTCTCCAGGCTCTCCTCGCCTCAGATACGCCTTTGCCAGGCAGTACCTCCCCCTGTGGAAGTGCTTGAAGTCGCCCTCTAAGCACTCTCTCACTCCTTTCTCGCTCTCCTGGAACAGATGCTGCCACACCAAGGGCCAGTGCTGCCTCAGCTGTTGGACATCAGCCACAGGAGCATGCTGCTTCTTCCCTTGCTGCTCCAGCTGCTCGCTTTCTCCCTCCTCCGCTTGCTGCTTCTGCTTTTTCAAATCAGCTATGCCTGCACCATGCTCCTCTGACTGCACGGCTGTTTCCGCAGCTGCTCTTGAAGCTTCCTCACTAGCTGCACCTCCCTGCTCTGCTCGTCGCGACTCCCCTTCTTCTGCCAGTCGCAAGTGCTTCTTGCCTGCACCACTGGAAAATTCTCCGCCCCTTCGTTTCTTGACAGAGCCGGAGTCCTGGGTTGAATCCACTTGGGTTGACTCAACTTGGGTCGGTTCAACCAGCACCACATCATCATCGTCATCTTCACCCTCTCCCCCACTTTCCCCACGACCACCGCCATCACCACCACCAATTCCACCATCGCCATCAGCACCACCAGCATCACCACCATCAGCATCACCATCGGCACCACCAGCATCACCACCATCAGCATCACCATCAGCATCACCAGCATCACCACCATCAGCATCACCATCAGCATCACCAGCACTTCCTTCCTCCTCATTTTCCATCTCCCTTCCTCTCGATCCGCCCTTCTGTTTCCCCCCCTCTTTATCCTCCTCCGTATCTCCATCCTTCCTCTCATCTGTCTCTTCCTCCTGCTTTGCCCCCTCCCTCCCCTCCTTCGAACTCTCCACCTCTAATACCTCGTGACTCCCATCCTTCTCACCTTCTGCTTCCTTGCCAACTTCCCGACCTTCTGCAACCCCCCTCCCCACCTCCAAAACCTCATCACTCCCATCCCTCTCACCAGATAATCCCTTGTCCACTCCCGACCCTTCCACAACCGCCCTCTCCACCACCTTCTCCCCTTCAGCCTCTCCTCTGCCCTCCACAACCTCGTCTTCTCCACGCCCCCTTTTCCTTTCCGCCCCATCAGCAGTGCTTACATGGCCAGTGTCCCTCGCTGTACTCCCCTCAGCTGCAGTCGCACCCCCTCCAGGCTGAGCCTCCAATTCCTTCTGCTGCAGAATCCTGGCAAGTGCATCCTTGGTGTCGCTATTGGACACGAGCGCCTGAGCACCACCCCACACCACACCATGCAACACCCCGCCAAAAAGACCCACAAATAGGAGGGTGTGTGCGATCGAGTACAATAAAGAGCAACATGATGGTGGGACGTGACCCAGAAAAGGCATGCAATGTATGAGAACACCTCCTGGCAGGCATCATCACCATTAATCATCTTATCACTCCCACTCGACTTTTCATCACCATCACCACCATCCTCATGTCATCCTCACCAATCATCCTCGTCCATCGTCACCATTCCTCCCCATGTCATCATCATCACAACTCACCCTGATGGCATCATCACTAAGCCCAGCCTCCACACGACTTCTTGCAAGTGCCTTAAGCCGTGAGGCGTGCAGGCGGTAGGCCGTGTCCACAGCATTGGGGCGCAGGGAGACGGACCGGCGCATCAAGGAGAGGGCGAGAGAGGCGGGCAGGTGAAGCTTTTCAGCCAGCTTGCCCTGAAAGAATGGGTACTGCCAGTTTGGCCTGAGACAGAGGGGGAGAGGAGGGGAGAGGGTGGTGCGAATGGGAAGTGGGGAGGAGGTGTTGGTACAAGAGCAAGGAGAGGGAGGAAGGAGGAGTGGGAGCAGAAGTATGAGAACACATGGGAAGGGAGGAAGGAAGGGGGGGGGGGGGGGGGGCTCACTATGCCTGATCACAACAGCTTCTGACAACTACAGGCTTCGGGACAGGGAATGGAGCGGAAGGGGCAACGGGATTAGGAGCATACAGAGTTGAGAGTGCAAGAGGTGGGTGCGGAGACAGACGGGCCAGGTTGAGGAGCAAAGCGATAATAAATTTGTGAGCAACGGGAGCAACATACGAGAGTGATTGGAGGATGCGGAAGAGTTGAAAGGCGAGGCGGCAGCGGTTCAGCCAGAGGCCATCCCTGACTTGCGTGTGCCTGAGCCTGTCATAAGACGGCACCACGTTCTGAATCGAGTCATACACCACAAACGCCAGCAGCTCCAACACACTCACCACCCTCTTCCTCTGCTCCTCACACCCCTCCCAAGCCTCACTCCCTTTCCTCCCCACCCAGACCTTCCTCCCCTCCCGCCCCGTCCACCCCTCCCATCTTGAATCACTCTCCTCTAGCGCGACCACTTCAAAGGGAAGCCGGCAACCAGGAGTAGCAATAGCCTCTACCAAGCACCGTGTGCACCGCTGCCGGTACCCCTGCAGCCTCCGCAGCACCCCCTCCTCCGCATGCCAGTCCGCAGGCCCCTTCATCTTCGCCCCATCGTTCAACATCAGGTCAGAAGCCTCGTCGTAGAACAGAGCGAGCTTGAGCCACGAGTCCGTGTTGCTGGGATGGTAGCAGAGGTCTGCGAGCAGAGGAGCAGTGACCTGCAGCACGTGAGAGTGGCCCTTGGGTTCTAGAAAGAAGCCTGGCGGCATGTGGTGGCCCATGGGGATGGGCTCTATCCGCGCCAGCATGGCAAAGAGAGGATTGTACACGTCAGCGTACGTGTCACTGTTCATGGCGTGGGATGGGTCTGCATGGAGGGATGCTGGATGGCGGGAGGAGGTCCATTCGGAGAGAAACGAGTGGGGACGCAGGACAGGTATGTAAGGCGAGAGGTCTGGCATTGTATTTAACATGCTGGCATGATTGAGCTGCTCTCCTCCATCACTCGTCAACTCCTTCCCCTTCACACCAAACGCACCCTCCCTATTCTCCATTCTCCTCCTGCCCTCCTCCGTGCCCCCATCCGCCTGCATTGTATGCCCACCTCTCACCTTCCCCTCCTCTCCCAACCTCTTCCCCTCCAAAACAATTCTCTCCACCATTCCCCAGTCGTTTATTTGTGAATCGTCCAAAAACGGCTCCACGGAGTGATGGGCCAGGATGGCAGGGGGAGGGGAGGGGAAGAGGGAGTGGATGGACGTCAGCAGCGGCACCAGCTTCACAAGCCGCTCGATCTGAGAGAAACAAGCAGGGGGCGTGAGAGGAGGGGAAAGGGGATCAGAACGAAGTGACGCAAACCACCAACAATCGAGAAGCAAGGATGGACGCAATGTGTGCATAGAGAAAGGGAACACTCGTGACGCTTACAGTAAAGGAGGCAACGAATGGTGCCATGTGCCTCAACGCTCGAGCACAGTGGTCCTTGGATTTCAAGTCCCCAGCCAAGGTGTTCTGATGCTGGACCTGCCCTGCTGCTGCTGCCTCCTGCCCTGCACCACCTCCGCTGCTCTCCCCCCCCACATCCACCTCAGCCCCTCTCAGCTGTACCCCGTATAAGCACAAGAAGCATTGATCCATAGCCCCTTCAATTTCCTCCAGCGCGCATCTCTTTGCATGCGTATCCTCCACCTGCTCACCCTGCCCACTGCAACTAACTCTTTCCCCATTTGTCCCCATACTCGCTCTCCCCACCCCAGCAGTGTTGCCAACTCTACCAGCAGTTCCATCAACCATTTCACCAGCAGACACCCCACCGTTGCCACCGGTCCTTTGCACATCCCTCGCACTGCTGCCCCCATTAGCACCTACTCCACCGACTCCCGCCTTACCGTCTCCTCCTCTTCCGCCCTTCAGACCTCGTACTCTCGGCTCCTTACCCCCGCCAGCAGCAGCCTTGGCTTTCCTACCTCCCGCATGCACCGAGGGGGTCAGCAGCGACTCTAGGTTGGTCAGCAGCTGGGCAGAGAGGGCAAGGAACGCGCCTCTACCACTCGGCGCTCTAACTGCTGCAGGCGTGCCGTCTTCTGCTGCAGCTGTGCTGCCGTTCCCGCTTTGTCTGCACGAAGATGCTGCACTGACAGGGGCTGAGGCGGTGTTGGGCATGGTCGAGGGGGGAACGTCAGCAGCTGAGGAGGATGAGGGGGAGGCGGCGGCGCAGCAGAGACCTTGAGAAGCAAGGATGCTGTGCGTGATGGCCCACATGGCAACCTGTTGACAAAAAGGGCGAGAAAAAAGGGGGGATCGATATGTATGACTTCAGCAAGCTTGCGTGGAGCCATGCCCGTGACATCGAAGCGCATATGCAGGATGGAAAAACTACGCCAAAGAAACCAGAAGTTGTGGAGCAGCAACCTCACTCCTCTCACCACCCACCTTATCGATCGTATTAACAGACACGCGCAAGTGCTGCAGGCAGCAGAGCGCCATGCACAGATCCACCAACAGCCCCTGCCAGGCCACCACCATCCCCTGCCACGCTGCCAGAATCCCACTTCTTGCTGCTGCAGCGCTCAAGCCTGGCTGGTACACCTCCCTTGACAGCTGGCTCGCGGGCTGTTCTTGTAACAGGCGGTGCTTGTAGAAGGCGAAATCTATAAGCACCGCAACAACCTGCTGGAGCTCCTCCAAGTGCTGCTCGTTGACCTGGGGGCACAGCAAGGGAAGAACAAACAGGTGAGGCAGGGAGCAGTACAGGGGCTATACAACATTGCATCCTTCCCCTTCTTTCCATTCCCCGTTTTTCATACTATTCTTACCTGCGAGTCTAATCCTGTCCCAAGCGCCATGGAGGCCGTCAAGTCCCTCAGCCCCGGCACTGTCTGCATCAGCTCCGCCTCACAGCTCGCACCAGCATCACTTTTGCCACCACCAGCAGAGGCTTTCCCAGCAGCTGCAGCAGAGCCTTCCAAAGCAGCTGACGCCACTGGCGTTGCTTTCGCGGGTGCAGGGGGCAGCGCCCCCATGCTTATTCTGCTGGATAGCAGCGCGAGTATGTGCTTGTAACAAACCAGTGCCAACGGCTGCTCCTGAGCCATTCCACGTGTGGCAGCCACGAGTCTCTTGAGCGTCTCCAACCACTTGCCAAAGCTCTGCTCGCTCTGCTGGCTGTGCTGGCTGTCTGCATTTACTCCGTGACCACCATCTGCAGGTGAACTGTGAGAGGCCAAGCCCGGGAGGCAGTAACTTCTGCCCTTCTGCCTCCCAGCTCCACCGCCCATCCCTGCTGCCCCATCCCTCAACAGCAGAGGCTTCATCATATTGATCAGCTGTTGCTGCTGCTGTGGCGGCTGGGGGAGCTTTTGCCCTGCCACGCCCTCTCCTGTCCCTGACAGCCCTGCCAGTACACAGTCCACATGCAGCTCACTCAACAGCTCATCCAAACCCTGCACTGAAATGCCCCCATTGGGCCCCCATACAGATGCCAGATGCGGCACCTCCACCGCTGCATGTGCTAGTGCTGCTACTCCTCCACACCCAGCTTCTGCTGGTAACATCACTTCAGCGCCATCTGAGCAGCCCCTGCTTCGCTCTGCTCTGCCCAGCGCATCCCTGCACCACGTGAACAGCTCAATCGCCCTTCCATGCTCACCCCTCCGCATCGCCACCTGTCCCTGACTTGCTCTCAGCCGAACCCAGAACCCCACCTTCTCCCAACCCCCTAAACCGCCGTGTCCCTTCCCCTGACCTAGCTCCTCCACCTCTCCACCTGCTTTTTCTGGCGCAATTCTCCGTCCCCCCACTGGGCCCCACGCATCCCCATCCACCTCCCACCTCACCCCCTCCTCGTCCATCTGCCCCTGCTCTGCCATGCCAAGGCAATGCACGCACTCCCTCTCCACCGCCCCTTCCACTGCCTCTTGCCGCCCTCTGCTCACGCCACCATCACTTTGAACCTCTCTCGCCAGACAAAGCTCCCCCAGATACAGCCAAACACTGGGTGAGCGGCCTTCCCACGAAACTGCCTGTCTTTCAAGCCAGAGGAGAGCGTCCAAAACGGAGGGTGTGAAGGCGGAGAGGGCAAGGTGAGAGGCCAAGTACTGCAGGATGAGAGAGGCTGCCTGGAGTAGAGGGAGGCGCTTTGGCAGGGCGGCGAGGAATGACTGCACCTGCTCCACCTCTGCTGCACTCACTTGCTGGACCACACCCAACCGCTCTGCATCTCCTGCTGGGTCACGACCATCAGCAGCCTTAACTCCCTCTGAAGCACTGGCTCCCGCTCCAACACCGGCGTCCACTTCAGCTCTAGCACCTGCTGCCACATCCACGCTGCTCCACTCCTCCTCCTTGCTGAAAAACCTCACCAGCACCTCCTTGCGCCGCACCCTGTGCAGCATCTTCAAACCATCAGATGCACCACCACCACTCCCCACGTGAGCGCTGTCGGCACCAACAGCAGCAGCAGCATCCGCACCAACGCCACCCTCAGCAACACCAACTGCAAGACCCTCCTTACCCCTTCCATTCTTCCCAGCTCTCCCGAAGCCATCTCCATCACAGGCTCCTATCAAGGGCGACTGCTGCTTGAAGCACGCGCCCAGAATGTCAAACACGCGCAGCCTCTTTGGTGGGAGGGGCTTGGCGCTCTCCAGCAGGGTGCTCTCCTTCCCCTTGGACTCCTGCAGCTGCATCTCCTTGATCTGCTGCCGCGTGCGCCTCTCCGTGCCCACAAACGACAACGGGTGCCTGTGCCGCTTCCTTGACTTGGCAGGAACTGCAGGCGCCGCAGAATCAGGCGCTGCTGCATCAGACGCTACAGCATCAGGGGCTACAGCATCAGCAGTGGCAGTATCGTGTGATGTGGTAGCAGATGCTGACACAGCTGCAGCTGAGGCATCAGGCGCTGGTCCCGAGGCTGCTTCTGCCAGAGCGGCAGGCGTAACGGCAGGCGACTCCTGAGTGGACATTGGAGTCGCATCGGCAGAAGTTGCTGCAGTCTGTGTGTCTTGAGTCTGTGTCAGTGGTGTCTGCGTCAGTGGTGAGTCTGCAATCGGTGGTGTCTGTTCTGGTGGTGCATCATCTGCATCAGGAGGACCGGAAGCAGCTGGCAGTTCAGCTGTAGGCGTTGGAGTGGCATCGGGAGGCGACTGCGAGTCCTCCATGCAAAGATCAACCACAGCAATAAGATTGGGCTCGGATAATGCAGTGACGCGGAAGGATGGGTCAGGTTGAGACAAGACAGCGGGAGGGTCAAACGGTGCGTCAGGCAGAGACGAGTCTGAGGGATGGGAGGCTGGAAACAGCTGGGGCAACGCTGTGGGTTCTGACGCTGCCTCAACCGACCATGATTTATGCACGGATGCCATATCAACAGAACGATCTCTTTCAAACAAAATAGGCCCTGCAGCAGCGCAGCTCTTCTCTTGGGGTTGCTGCTCTTCTTGAGGCTCTTCGTCATCATTACTCCTTTCACGACCGCTTTCAACGCCCTCTTCAATGAGGCCCTCGTTGCCGTTCCTAGGATCACCACCTCCTTGCAGACTGCCTGCTACCACGACCGTCACAGAAACGCCCGCCACCGGCTGAGGGTGCTCCAAGCCCTGCCTTTCCACCGAACGCTGCTGCACCATGCGGAAGACGTGTACAGTGTTCAGGATCAGCTCGGCCCAGGAGCGACCGCGCAGCTCAAGCACCGGGCTGTATTGTTGAACGGACATCTCACTGCTGCCCAGTGCGCTCCCCTGCTGCTCAGGCTCCTGCTCCTGCTCCTGCTCCTGCGCTACCTCTGCTGAGAACCCTGCAGTTGCCCCTGCTGACGGCCCAGCATCCAGGCCATTCTCACCGCCAGCAGCAGCAGCAGCAGCAGAGGCGCGAGCAGCAAGGGCGTCCAATGCTGCCTGCAGAGCCACGGGGTCCGGGTGGAACACCTCGCTCGACATGGCCAGCACTCGCCGCGCGCGAGAATGGGTGGGCGCGAGGTGGAGCATGTAGGCCGCGAGCTCATGTGCTGCCTGCCAGTCGTCCAGAGACACCAGCACTTCCAGCAGCTTGTTCAGACACCCCCCTGTTGAAACAACGCACGGAGCGGAAAAGGCAGCGCAAGGGACATTAGTACGTGCAGTGCAGCAGACACGGCATGAAGTGGCGTAATGTGGAGGAGAGCACCCCTAGTGCCAAGCAACTGTGGCATGGGCGAACTCGGATGGTAGGCGCTGCAGGGACGTACAGTGGTAAGGGCTGCAGGTGAGGCCTTGTTCCAGTGCGTATCTCGCCAGGCGAGCTCGACCTTCGGTTCGGAGAGCCATGGATCCGAGCCTGTGCCAGAGGACTGCATCCTGACCGTCGATCTCCGTCGCTGTGACGTAAGCACGCAGTGCTGACTCGTTATAGTCACTTCCCAGCTTCGCGTAGACGTCGCCAAGGTTCTTCCACACCAGGAATCTGTATCAGCGGCACAACAAAACGTTGCCGTGGTTAAGTGACTGCGCACTGAAAGAAGACTGAACGAGAGGAATCGAAACGGAATGGCTTGACTTACTGAAGGTGACGCATCTCCGTCAGCCCTCCCCCTGCTTCAGCCTGCGACGACAACCACAGACGAACGCGTTTGTTAGCGACGGCTGGGTCGAACCGTGAGAAGCCACAAGTCGAGCCAACACTGATGCACTACGAGACTACGACCCGAACGCGTCTAAAGCGAGTGGAGCGGATTTCGAAGCTTAACATTCGAAGCTCCAGGTCGGCCATAGAAAACCACGCGACGCGAAGCGTCAGAGACGAGCACGAGCCGTCGCGACTCTACCTGGACTTCCTTCCACAGCGGATGGCAGGACATTTCCTCCAGAGCCTCTCTCGCCTCCGACAAACGGCCATTTCCGATTTTAACGAGGGCTTCCTGATACGCGTCTTGTAGCGCCGACTCCTGCTCACGCGACGTTCGAAAACCGACAAAGAAATTTAAAGCTGGTGGAAACTGAAACGGAGAAGAGCGGATGAATGCATAAGAGAGGCGGACGAGGGCGGGGCGGAGGAAACGACGGCTACCTGCGCTTCTCTGGTGGGACCTCCTCTCGTCTGTGCTTGCGGCCGTACGGCATCGTTGATGCAGGATATGGAAAACTGCGCAGGAAAGAATTCAAGCGGAGATTGATCTAAAACGGTCTTCTACATGCATAGCGGGAATCATCACTGGAATTATTTGGGACTCTCTCAGGAATCTGACCGAAGTGAAATTACTGAGCTAAATGAATTGGAGCTGCAGGTACAAAGAAGATCAAGCAAGTTTGGCACTTGGCACCTAGTAAAGGTGGTGCTATCTGGAGCATCCTACAAGAGAAATCATTTATCGGTATCTACTGTGCAACTGATTACCATGGTTTTTGGAGGCTAGGGTCATCAGCGGAGCTGCAAATGTCAATGGATGCTGCTTTCCAAGAAAAACGGTTTTCTGGGGTGGTTCAAAAGCAAGATTAGCTGGTAGAGCAGCTCTTGCTTCCAGCAAGATTTGCTGCACCAGTCCATCTCTCTGCTTGAGCAACTGGAGACATTCCATCACAGACTGCGCGTGAGTGTGATGCAGCCCTATGCTGATTTATTTCAGATTCGTCTTTGTGTGGAACCTTATGAAATTGGTGAATTTACAGGGATTTTGGCCACCTCTGGCCTGAACTTCTCTTTCTCGCTCCCCGTGCAATGCCAAAAGATGAGTTCGTGGTTGGGTCGTTTTCGCGAAGTTGGACCCACGAGGAGCTCATCATGGTAACCAGCAGAACACTTCGCGTTTCTTCAAAGTCTAACTTGATAAACAAGCGTAAGCTTCATCTCATGCGAATTGTGTCAACGATTTGATATCATAGTGACCTGCGCGAGATTTGCTCGTTTGAAGCTCAAACCCTCACAATTTCGGCGGCAACTCTGACCGGGCTTTCTGACTCCGCGTGTGTTCTCCGCAGCACGTCAATGCAGCCACCGCACCCCAACGCCTGCCCGGACCAACCCCGCCTCCATCTTCTCGCTGCCGCCAATTGCTAGCCCTGGTTACCATCAGAAGACAGGTCGTCCAGAAACCTTCGCGCGACCGTGCTATACACGTGGCTTCGCAACGTTGCTGTCGGTATTACCCGAGGTTTCGGGATCGCACTACATACTTCGCCGTCTCTCGCTGACCACAACAGCCTTTTCGCCAAACGCGTAACCCCCAATCTCACCCGCCACCACCACCCCCGATGACCTCGGTTCCCCTCCAGATCTCGACCCTTCCTCGCATCTGATCCGTAGATCTGATCTGGTGGCGACATCTCCTCCCTTCATCTGCACCTTCACCGCACTGCACTAGGCCACCATGCATCCTCCCTCTCCTGCACAACTAGCTGTGTGCCGTTTTCCTCCAGATCACCAGTTCCCTAACCCACCTCCAGTTTCTTTCACATCTGCCACCTCTCACCGTCACACTTCGCTTTCCTACAGTACCCGCTGCTTCTGCCTGTTCCCACAGCCTCGCTCGCTCACGCCAGCTCCTCATCACCCACGAATCATGGCCTGGGGAAAGCCTGGAACCGGCGTGGTGAAGTCGTACGCCGTGGAGTGGTCGACCATGGAGCAGACGACAGCCAAGGCCGCGGAGCGGGTGAGGGACGAGCGAGTGCCCGAGGAGGAAGAGGAGGAGGACGAGGACCCCGTGTGCCCGCTCTGCATTGAAGAGCTCGACGCCACGGAGATCCAATTCCGGCCCTGTCCCTGCGGGTGAGGCTCTAGTGCCACGCACCGCAGGTCCCGGCGGAACTTATGACATAGGAAAGTCAGATCTGACCTAAGCGTGGTGTTTGAGTCAGCCTTGTTCTTCAGGGCTCGGGTGAGGTTATCGTTGTGATCGGATCTGACGTCGCAAGGCGGCTACCACAGTCGTGCTTCATATATTACTAGGTTACTGTTGCTTCTTGCAAATTCTCCCGTTTTTCCATCCTCATCCCTCACTTAACATCTCCTTTCCGTTTTCCCTGTTCCTTTCCCCGCTCAGCTACCGCGTGTGTCTGTTCTGCTACGAGCGAATCAAGCTCGAGCTCAAAGGCATCTGTCCCAGCTGCCGCTCGCCCTATGGCGACCCGCAAATGGCGGCGCCGCCGCAGCCAACCGCATCGGGTGCGTCGTCGGGTAAACGGCGGGGGTCGATCTCTCGCAACGGCGACAGCAAGGCGTCCGAGCAGGGAGCGTCGATCGCGGGAGCGTCGCTGGGAGTGTCGATTCTTGGAGCTGGCGATCATCGCTGCCATTCGCGAGTGTCGCCCGCTCCGCCGATACTCGCGTCATCGGAATTCCCGACTTTATCGTCGTCGCCTCCTCTCTCAGGTGCACTTCGTCGTCGCGTAAGCTTCTTGCTCCGTTAGCTTATCATTCTCCCGGGTCGTGTTTCTCATCTGAAAATCCTTCCGTCGCCGTGCCCATCTACCCTCCCCTTGGCCTGTTCCCTCCAGTTCAACCTAGACGGGGGCCGTCATGGGAGAAGCCTCGTTCGGCCGTTCCACCGTCAGCCGCCCCACCATTCCCACCTCCATCATCGTCATCTTCAGCAGCAGCAGCCGCAGCAGCATCTTCGTCATCAGCATCGATGTCGTTAGCGCCATGGGCGTCTGTCTCAGCCACAGCCACAGCCACAGCCACAACCACAACCACAGCCGCAGCCCCGCCATCGTCGTTTCCGCCGCTCCTACCGCTCGACCCGCCTCATCAGCCGGCTTCGCAGAGCCACGTGGCTTCGAGTCACGCTACGCAGAGCCGCGCAGCTGCGGCTGCTGCGGGCGGGCGGCGTTTGTCGTCTGACGCCCATGCCGCGCCGAGCGGTGAAACCACCGCTACGTCTTGGCCCGCGCTTAAGGCAGAGCCAGCGACGGCGGGTCCGTCTGTGTCCGCCGTATCGAGTCACGCTCAAACGGGGAAGTCTGCAAGCAGGGACTCACGGAAGGAGTCGGGCGGGGAGAAGGGGAAGGAAGCGGGGAGAGTTGCCGAGGGTGCCAAGGCCGCGACGGTCGCTTCTGCGGGTTCTGCGCTGGCGGGTAGGAAGCAGCAGCCTCAACCGCAAACCTCGGCGGGTGCTTCAGCGGATGTCGCGGTATCGAGTTCCTCGTCGTCCGCTGCCGCTCGTTCTTCCGCCAAGGCGTCGACTCGCACTATCAGTCCCCCGCCCGTGCCTGCCGACTCCGCATCTCGCGTGCCTTCCACCGCATCTCTCGAGCAGCCGCGCGACGACGGTGCGACCAGCGTCGGCAGCGGCGCGACCGCGAGCAGGAGCAACGCGAGGAACAGCGCCACCGCCACTGGCGGCAGCGGCAGCGGAAACGATAGCGGCAGCGGCAGCGGCAGCGGTAGCGGTAGCGGTAGCAGCAAGAGCAGCGGCGGCGGCGGCGGGCGCAGCAGGAGCAGCAGCAGCGGGAGAGGGAGCTCGTCCGACGATGAGATGGGGTTCAGCCTGAGCGACCAGCTCGCAGAAATGCTGCTCAACAGTCCCGGCCGCGCCGACCTTGGTGCTTCCGCCGCGCAAGCAACCGCAGCAGAAGCCGGTGAGGTGAAAGCAGATGAAACGCAGAGCCGCGCAGGCGAGCGCAGCGTGGTTCAGACTTCGGTCCCCGAACCTGCCAGTTCCGTTGTGCCGAAGCCATCCTCCTCGGTTCCTTCATTCCAGAGAATTCGGGACGCCGCGTCACCGCACAGCACCGATTCATCCATCCCGCTCGCCGCTGCCGGCCCCCACGGCAGCATCTCATCGCCGTCCTTTTCCACGTGGCTCTCGCCGCACTCCACCTCCTCCGCTGCTACCCTCTCCAAACCCGTCCTATCCACCCCTAACGGGGTGGCTTGTAACGGGATCGCTGTCGCGGGCTGGGCGTCCTCCGGCGGGAGCGGGCTGGAGCGGCTGCAGCAGCTGCAGGCGCTGCAGCGGCAGCTGCAACAGGCTTTCGTGGGCGTGGGATGGTCAACGGACGAGATGCAGCGCGCCAGTGAGATCGTCGCCGCGGCCAAGCAGTCTCAGAGCCGCTTCTCGGGTGCCGCAGCAGCAGCATCAGCAGCGGCAGCGGCAGCAGCGGTCGCGCCGGCTGTAGCAGCAATGCCGCCTGCGGCTTTGACGGGTGTAGTCCCAGCAGCAGTTGCCACGTTTCCCCTTTCCGCTACCCCCGCTGCCCCTGCGTCCGCCCCTGCTCCCAAAACTGCCCCATCCAAGCCTGTCACCCCGCCCCCGGGCTTCCGCCCTTCCGCTCCCCCTGGCTTCGCGCCCCTGTCCCCGCCTCCTGGGTTCGGCCCGTCCGCGGGCGCCAAGAAAGCGGACGCGGGCGCGCTGGGGCAGGCGGACATGCAGGCGCAGGCCGCCGCCGCCGCAGCAGCAGCAGCGGCAACAGCAGCAGCAGCAGCGCGGGCAGGGTCGGGGCTAGGGCTTTCCGGATCGACCGGGGCAGCATCCTTTGGCGCGGCGGGTGCAGCAGCAGCAGGGGGGAATCTGGGCGTGCAAACGGCAGAGTCAGCAGCATGGGGGTGGGGGGTGGCGGGAGCAGTTGCCTCCGCCTCCGCCTTGGCGGCAGGCGCGTCCTCCTCCGCCTCGTTTTGCTCGCCGCTGCTTACCTCTGGCTACTCCAGTGCTTCAGGCTACACCACCACCAGTGCAGCAGGCTATTCCGGTGCCGCTGGGTATTTCTCAGGGTATACCGGTGTTGGAGGGGTGTCGGGGCGGAGTGGGAGCGAGGTTTGGGCGTCGGGTAGTGTGGGGGCGGTGAGAGGGACGTGGGGTGGAGGGGATGCGGACGCTGCTGTGGCTGCTATTGCGAGCATCTGGGGGCAGGAGAACAGTGCCACGGCTGCTGTGGGTTCGATCAAGCTGGGATCCGCTGCAGAGTAAGTGTCCCGCTCCGCTCCCTCTTCGCATTTGATTTTATCATTTCTGCCAGTCACTGCCGCTTCAGTGCTGCTTTTCAATCATGTCACCTAGTACTGTGTTTGCACCTCGTCTCCCTCTGGCATCTGTCATCCTCGGAACTGACTCAGTGCTGCTCCCTTCCCGCGTCCCATCCTGTGCAGGACTACCAAGTGGCAGTCAGTGGGGTCAGGCCTCCAGTCCTTCACGGGTGGTTCAATGTCCATCCCCATGTCCTCCTCCCTCTCTCTCCTCGGAGCTTCCATCTGGAGCAATGGGAGCAACAGCTCCCTGCAGCCCTCTCAGCCCGGCATGTGGGGTTCCTCGCCCCTTGCGCGCTCCCCCTCGCCTCAGCTTGCAGCAGCTTTGTCCTCGGCTGCGCCGAACTTGCAGGGTGGAGCGGGTGGGGCAAGGGGTGCGTGTGCGCCGCTATTCCCTCCTGGGATGTCTTCGGTGTCGCTTGGGCAGGGTGTTTCCTCGTTTCACCATTCAGTTTTGCCGCTTGGGCTTCCACTTTGATGTGATTGATTGATTCGTTACTTTTGATACCGGTACCACATTTAATTTTTATTTTGACTTTATTGTTTTGCGAAGCGCCACCATTCAAATTTTGTTTGACCTTTTAGATAGATAAAGGCCGAAGCTGATTGTTGATTCACTGATATCTCTGTTGGCTTCGGCCAATCAAATGGCAAAAACAGTCACCCGTACTCATACGGTATCTTAAGCAGTTAATGAATCGACCCATGTGCAGTCTAGTATCGCGTGTGGCGAGGCAATGCCCGCGGTCACTACTATTTTCGGCAATACCTGACTTCGCGGGGACGCGTCGTCGGTGAACAATCACTGCAGGTAGATTTAGCATTCGCGTAGAACGCGCCTGCATAGGCTTTTGAATTGTTTATTCCAACGGCTACTTTCCAGCGTTAGCGATGCGAAGAACGAGAAAGTGATCGCGAAACTGTCGCCTGAACATGTCGGCGACATCGCATCAGCTACAGCACAGGATGCCTAGTAAACCAGTCGAGATGACAACAGGATCCAAGGCTGTTTCCGATGCCACGTGGCATAATCTAGGCATGGTTGCTGGCTCGCTGTTCGCCATCATCGTCGCCGTCGCTTTCCATCAGCACCACTCTTCCACCGTCGCTGAGGTGCGACGTCCCTTCATGGATACTGCCGTCGTTGACGTCCCTTCATGGATCATACTGCCATCTGGGAAGTCCTTGATATTGCCTCAACAGCAACGATTGATGGATCCTCCCTTCTTGGATCATTATGCATGATTCAATAAATGACAAGCAAAGGTACAGTACAGTGTCTTCGGTATCAAGCATTCGCGTATCCTGGTGTTCAAGCTTCCCCCGTATTTCCCTATCCCCATCCCACCCCTATCCCGCGCTATACTCCCCGCCTTTCCTCTCCTCACTCATTCGTGCCACGTCATCAGCTCAAATCGTTGCTGCAAGAATCCAGGGACCAAGCAACCGACGTGGATGCGGTTCTAAAAGACATCAAGACGTTGCTCACCAACCCTTCCAGCAAGGCGACAGACACACAAGGTGCACATGTCAGGGGAGATTAGGGTTTGTATATTCATGCCATTCATTTGAAATATTGCTGAATCTTCAGGTTACTGCACTCGCACTGCTCCCTCACGCTCCCTCCCTTCTCCCACCCTGCCAGCCGGCACTCACCTCAACCAGCGGTGCATCCTGGCCGTTGATCGCGGCAGCATCAACGCATCCCTGCTGGCCGACACGTCGTCCGCGGATTATCTGGAGAACAACGCCAAGCACCTGCCGTCATGGCTCTCCTCGCAGCTCATCAACCAGTGAGAGGGAGGCTGGGTGAGGTGAGGGTATGAAGAGAAAGGCTGGGTGGTGAGTGTAGGGAGGGAGGGGATGGGCCAAAAACAAGGGGGGACAGACAACTCGGGATGAGGCCAGTTGGCTGTTGACTATCTGACTGGAGGGGAACGCCAAGCACCTGCCGTTGTGGCTCTCCTCCCAGCTGATCAACCAGTGAGAGGATGGGCTGGATGGGGTTGAAAGAGGGTGGAAGGGGATGGAAGGGGGAAGGCTGGGTGGCGAGTGCAGGGAGGAGGGGGAGGACCAGGAAGGCGGGAAGAGAGACGTATCAGGATGTCTTCTTGACAGTAAATGATTAATTCACAGCAGCACCAGTGCCATCAGTCGCGGCATGCCATTGTTCTTGCTCTCACTCTATCGTCACGTTGATGCGCTGCCTCCCTCTTGTCCCTTCTGCTGCTGTCTTATTCAGACTGTACGCTCAGCGCCATGGCTACACCTTTTACTCGATTGAAGCCATCACGCCCATGCTCATAAGTGAAGGCATCGACCCCAACACCATTAACAGGGTACGCTTGCAGTGTGTCCTGTGTGTGTGTGGACAGTCCAGGGTTCAACACTTTCTATTAACAGGAGGAAAGTCCACGTCTTGTATCTCACCCATGCTTCTTTCACTTCCACGACCTCTCCCAGCTTTTGAAACGCCTCAATACTCTCCTTATCCTCTGTCATCCATCGCGCCCACGACCCACCCACCCTTCCAACCCCAAATCGCCTTCATTAACCGCCAGCTGGCGTGCTGCTGCCAGTGGGTGCTAGTCCTGGTGCACGGCGCATACGTGCGCCTGGAGCAGCACAGCCTGCCCGTGGAGCACTGGCTTGCACGCCTCCCCCTCCCCACACAGACAAACCTTCAAGAGGCCGATGGTCACACTGTGCCTCCTCTCTCTGCTTCCTTTTCTCCCTCTCCTCCTCCTCTCCCGTCTGCCCTCTCCTTGCTTCCCCACAGATCGCCTTTATAAACCGCCAGCTGGCGTGCTGCTGCCGGTGGGTCCTAGCCCTGGTGGACGGGGCATACATACGCCTGGAGCAGCACAGCCTCTCTGTGGAGCTCTGGCTCGCACGCCTTGCCCGGCCCGACACGTTTGAGTGGATCACGCGGTCGGGCATCGACATGGCCAACCAGACCTGGCTCCCCTCCGACCCTGCCCACCTGGTGGCTGATGGGGGGGTTGGCGCGGATGGGGGCTCACAGCAGGACGGGAGGACAGGGGGCGTGGGTGAACGGCAGGAGGAGCAGAGGGGGCAGGGGAAGGGAAGGTTGGGGGACGAGCAGGAAGGAGCAGGGAAGGAGGAGGGGGAGGGGAGGATAGGGAAGGGGCGGGCACGGCCGTTGATAGGGCTGGTGGGGCGGTCGGGGGATGGGGTGTATGGGCTGGCAGGCAAGGCGGGGACTCTCTTTCATGAGAGTGTGCCGTTTGTGGGGAATGCTGCTGTGCTGCTCACACACAGTGGCGACACGTTCAAGGTGCGGCAGGCTGATGGTGAGCCGTGTGCCGTGATGGTGATGGTAAAGCATGGCGTGCTGCCCGTGATGGTGATGGTAAAGCATGGCGTGCTGCCCGTGATGGTGATGGTAAAGCATGGCGTGCTGCCCGTGATGGTGATGGTAAAGCATGGCGTGCTGCCCGTGTGCAAGGTGAAGCATGGCGTGCTGGGCGTCAGAACAGCATGGCGTGCTGGGCGTGAGAACAGCATGGCGTGCTGGGCGTGAGAACAGCATGGCGTGCTGGCCGTAGAACAGCATGGCGTGCTGGCCGTAGAACAGCATGGCGTGCTGGCCGTAGAACAGCATGGCGTGCTGGCCGTAGAACAGCATGGCGTGCTGGCCGTAGAACAGCATGGCGTGCTGGCCGTAGAGCAGCATGGCGTGCTGGCAGTAGAGCAGCATGGCGTGCTGGCCGTAGAACAGCATGGCGTGCTGGCCGTAGAACAGCATGGCCTGCTGGCCGTAGAACAGCATGGCGTGCTGGCCGTAGAACAGCATGGCGTGCTGGCCGTAGAACAGCATGGCGTGCTGGCCGTAGAACAGCATGGCGTGCTGGCCGTAGAACAGCATGGCGCGCTGGCCGTAGAACAGCATGGCGCGCTGGCCGTAGAACAGCATGGCGCGCTGGCCGTAGAACAGCATGGCGTGCTGGCCGTAGAACAGCATGGCGTGCTGGCCGTAGAACAGCATGGCGTGCTGGCCGTAGAACAGCATGGCGTGCTGGCCGTAGAACAGCATGGCGTGCTGGCCGTAGAACAGCATGGCGTGCTGGCCGTAGAACAGCATGGCGTGCTGGCCGTAGAACAGCATGGCGTGCTGGCCGTAGAACAGCATGGCGTGCTGGCCGTAGAACAGCATGGCGTGCTGGCCGTAGAACAGCATGGCGTGCTGGCCGTAGAACAGCGTGGCGTGCTGGCCGTAGAACAGCATGGCGTGCTGGGCGTGAGAACAGCGTGGCGTGCTGGGCGTGAGAACAGCGTGGCGTGCTGGGCGTGAGAACAGCGTGGCGTGCTGGGCGTGAGAACAGCATGGCGTGCTGGGCGTGAGAACAGCATGGCGTGCTGGGCGTGAGAACAGCATGGCGTGCTGGGCGTGAGAACAGCATGGCGTGCTGGGCGTGAGAACAGCATGGCGTGCTGGGCGTGAGAACAGCATGGCGTGCTGGGCGTGAGAACAGCATGGCGTGCTGGGCGTGAGAACAGCATGGCGTGCTGGGCGTGAGAACAGCATGGCGTGCTGGGCGTGAGAACAGCATGGCGTGCTGGGCGTGAGAACAGCATGGCGTGCTGGGCGTGAGAACAGCATGGCGTGCTGGGCGTGAGAACAGCATGGCGTGCTGGGCGTGAGAACAGCATGGCGTGCTGGGCGTGAGAACAGCATGGCGTGCTGGGCGTGAGAACAGCATGGCGTGCTGGGCGTGAGAACAGCATGGCGTGCTGGGCGTGAGAACAGCATGGCGTGCTGGGCGTGAGAACAGCATGGGGTGCTGGGCGTGAGAACAGCATGGCGTGCTGGGCGTGAGAACAGCATGGCGTGCTGGGCGTGAGAACAGCATGGCGTGCTGGGCGTGAGAACAGCATGGCGTGCTGGGCGTGAGAACAGCATGGCGTGCTGGGCGTGAGAACAGCATGGCGTGCTGGGCGTGAGAACAGCATGGCGTGCTGGGCGTGAGAACAGCATGGCGTGCTGGGCGTGAGAACAGCATGGCGTGCTGGGCGTGAGAACAGCATGGCGTGCTGGGCGTGAGAACAGCATGGCGTGCTGGGCGTGAGAACAGCATGGCGTGCTGGGCGTGAGAACAGCATGGCGTGCTGGGCGTGAGAACATGTTCCATGATAACAGGAAGTTTGAGGGCAACGCTGCTGTGCGTGATGGTGAAGGTGATGCTGATGCTGATATGCTGATGCTGATATGCTGATGCTGATGCTGATATGCTGATGCTGATATGCTGATGCTGATATGCTGATGCTGATGCTGATGCTGATATTCTGATGCTGATGCTGATGCTGATATGCTGATGCTGATGCTGATGCTGATATGCTGATGCTGATGCTGATGCTGATGCTGATATGCTGATGCTGATGCTGTGATGCTGATGCTGTGATGCTGATGCTAATGCTGATGCTGATGCTGATATGCTGATACGCTGATGCTGATGCTGATGCTGATGCTGATATGCTGATGCTGATGCTGATGCTGATATGCTGATGCTGATGCTGATGCTGATGCTGTGATGCTGATGCTGATGCTGATGCTGTGATGCTGATGCTGATGCTGATGCTGATGCTGATGCTGATATGCTGATGCTGATGCTGATGCTGATATGCTGATGCTGATGCTGATGCTGATGCTGATGCTGATGCTGATGCTAATGCTGATGCTGATGCTGATATGCTGATGCTGATGCTGATGCTGATGCTGGTATGCTGATGCTGATGCTGATGCTGATGCTGATATGCTGATGCTGCTGCTGATGCTGCTGCTGATGCTGATGCTAATGCTAATGCTGTGATGCTGATGCTGATGCTGATGCTGATGCTGGTATGCTGATGCTGATGCTGATGCTGATGCTGATGCTGATGCTGATGCTGCTGCTGATATGCTGATGCTGATGCTGATGCTGATATGCTGATGCTGATGCTGATGGTGAAATGACTGCAAGGCAAAGGCATGGCATGTGAGCCTTAGGAATCTGCTCTATGGGAGCGAGGCGCGCCCTGTTGATGGGTGATGCCATGCTGCTTCAATGCCATGGTGCTTCTCTCACATAGTGCTGACTCATTCAAGGTGCGACAAGCTCGGCAGCTGTCTTGAAGACGAGGGTTGTGATTCATGTGCCCGGCATCTGTCTCTGCTTCACACTCTTGAGGCATCCCGCCTCAAAAGTCTCTGCTTCACACTCTTGAGGCATCCCGCCTCAAAAGTCTCTGCTTCACACTCTTGAGGCATCCCGCCTCAAAAGTCTCTGCTTCACACTCTTGAGGCATCCCGCCTCAAAAGTCTCTGCTTCACACTCTTGAGGCATCCCGCCTCAAAAGTCTCTGCTTCACACTCTTGAGGCATCCCGCCTCAAAAGTCTCTGCTTCACACTCTTGAGGCATCCCGCCTCAAAAGTCTCTGCTTCACACTCTTGAGGCATCCCGCCTCAAAAGTCTCTGCTTCACACTCTTGAGGCATCCCGCCTCAAAAGTCTCTGCTTCACACTCCTCTCCTCTCTGTCACCAGTCAGTTTTTCTTCTAACGCAGCAAGTCAGGCACACTATGGCACAACCTATCGCTACACTGACCTTACCACATCTCCATCAATGCCCTGTCTCTCCCATCGCCCTGCATTTCCCATCCCCCCCAGTTCCTGTCGCTATGGCAGGCCAAGTCAGCAGCACTGGGGTGGGATTTCACGGGCCTGCAGGCAGCAGTGAGGGAGTTTGCCGCCCAGATCGCCATCGTGCCGCACCTGGAGATGGGCGGCTTGCACAGCCGTGCCATCCGGTACGCGTTTTTTGGAAGCAACCAGGAAGATGCTAAGAAGGTTCTTGCAACGGCTTTGTTGGCTGCCGTGAAATTTCACCAGGCATGGAAGGACAGCAATGGTGAAACTGATTGATAATTCTCGCATACAGGAGTAAGTGCATTCTATATGATGTAAACTTATTATTCGCCTAGCATTTACAATCAGTTTGGTAAATGAAAGGAAGAAACTTAGGTGCTAGAGGCAAATCCCTGCCATCATTTGTCAACCGAAAATCCCGGCCATCATGGTCTTGAACTCGTCATAATCCACGTATCCATCCCCGTTAGAGTCCACCCTCTTTATCATCCTTTCGCAGTCTTCTGTCGTCAAATCATCCCCTTTAAGAACACCAATCACGTATCTCAGCTCCTCTGGACAAATTACACCGTTATGGTCGAGGTCAAAAATCTCAAACGCACGGAACAAATCCTCTTCCCTCACGTCCTTTTCCGAAGCACTTCCACCGTCCGATTCATCCTCCTCCTCATCGGAGACTGAATATTCGCCCAACAGGGACGGGCCTGCGCGTGCAGAGCGCAAAAACTCCTCAAAGTCGATCATCCCATCGCCATCCACGTCAGCCTCGCGAATCACATCTTCCGCAAAGCCAATCAGATCGCCTCCTGCCTCGCGCGAACTACCGCGCTGTCCAGGCGTCGAATCTGCAAGAGAAATATTCAGGCGGGTTAAGAGAGTTGCGAGCTCGTAGGCGGAAATTTTGCCGTCCTTGTCTAGGTCGATGGTATCGAAGGTGCGCGCGGCCTCGCGACGGAACGAGGAGGACTTGATCTGGCGAATTTGGCTCGAGCGGGTGTTGTGAGAAGCTGGCGCAGGTGTGTCGTGCTGCTTGAGGGCCATGCGCGACGGGGACGGCGAGACTATTGAGCGGAAGTAAGAAACAAAGTTGGTGTGAAAAAAAGATTGGGTTGCCGGTTGAAAGCGGAGGTGAGCGATGACGCGCTGATTGCTTTCAGGAATATTGAGACTGGCACTGCTACTACTGGAAACGCAGAGATGATTTTGTTATCGCAGCAAGAGAACTATCTTGAGAGGTTGTTGTTAGCGAATGATGAAATTTGTGAAATGCGAAAGTTGGATGCCATTTCGCCCCTCTTTGTAGGTGCTCTGGAGTGTTCGGCTGGTAAGTGGAGAGTGAGAAAACTCGGGTTACCTTTTTCGAGCGCGTTCGCTCAACCCACCACGTCTCCATTCGACTTTCCCCGTTACGGAATTGCGAACTTTCGGAATTCGCCTTCGGAGGTAATCTTGTCGTTGCGTGGCGAGCAAGCTGCAATTGTAGGTGCTGCGAAGCTGGCGACGCGGCTTCCCCGCGAGTTTACGAAGGGATGAGGTGATGCGACGCGATGTCGCCAGGTGTTGCCGAGGTGTGGGACTCCGCCTGCGTCCGCGTAAATTCTAGCGTGCCTTTCTCGCGTAAATACCTGGTTGAGGTTCGGCGAGAAAGCTGAAACCAATCACGCAAGAACCTCAGCACGCGGGAGAGGCACCGGTCCATACGGCACACCACCGAGTCTTGCTTGTCGTGACAGTCAAGGCGCGTGGCACGGGCGTCTCAGAGCAAAGAGTCAAGGCGCGTGGCACTTAGCTCGAACACGTCAAATTGGAACCGCATAATCTTCTCATAATGGTAAAGAATCGTTCGAAATATAGATTCCATATTAACCACAAAATAAGGCATCATTATTGATGAATATACACACCAATGTGCGTTCATTATTTATGGCTTGCCAACCAGATCAAGGGTAGAGCCAGGAATTCCGCTGCGGAGGAAGACAGAATCGCATGCCAACAAACAGAGGGTTCCGGCAAACCACGCCAAAATTATATTGGGCCATAAGCCGTACGCTATTGCGGAAATACACGGTTATTATGCGAGCGCACGTATCGCCTCGTGTGGCATAGTAAAAATCATTTGTCACGCAGTTACTCGCTCCCATCCAACTGGGAGCTGCCTTCACACAGACCTACAAACGAAAGAAAGGAACAAGAGGGCAGGGAGGGGGAGAGCGGGGGTGGGGGGGAGGGAATTGGTTAGTCAGAACTGTGGTGTAGGTTCGTTAACTAAGTTATGCAATGAAACTTCTCGTTCCTACAAAGACTGCAACGAGAGTACGACACAAATTATCAGACCTGGTGCAAAGAACCCTAAACCCTGGCACAAATTATCACCTGGACTCCAGCGCCCACAGTGGCATTGGGTTGATCAAGCAGCGAGCAGGAGAGGCCGGGGTTGAGAGCGATGAAGTGGGCGGGGGGGAGCGGGGGAGAGGCGACGGATCGCATGATGGAGGGGCACGTGTCGCCCGGCTGGGGCGTGTACCAGCGCGCACAGCGGCGGGGGAGAGGCGTTGATGCTGCCGCCACACAGATCTGATGGGGGGGAGGGGGTGTGGGGGAAAGGAGTAATGGGAGTGGAGTGAGATGGCCATGGGGTAGACCACGGGGGAACATGAGAGAGAAAGGCAGAGGGGGAAAGCAGAGGGGGAAGGCGTGGGGAAGGCGTGGGGAAGACAGGGGGGAGGCATGGGGGTGGTGGTGCAAGTACCGATTGGCTGGAGGAGAAGGGCTCGGTACAGTCGAGCTGGGGGTTGAGGGTGAGGAGAGCCGCTGTGCTTGTATTGAAGAGGTCCACTATCGATGCACACGTGTCCCCCTGCACCGAGGCAACACACACCATCAATTACCTCGCAAGTGCCCAGTCACTTTGAAAAAAGCAAGAAATAAATATATATATACACACACAGGATCAGAGTTCAAGGCGAAGGTTGGCCATGGCAAGAGGATGGACGGTCAGCTAGTGATGGTGAGGAGGAGTGGAGCATACCAGAGAGGCAGCATAAGACAGCGAGCAGACGTTGGCTGCTGCTGTGGTGTTGACAGTGACCGTTGCTCCCACCTCCAGCTTGCTACAGTCCATGCCCTGTAACACAGAGTCACAGAGAGTCAGGGAACCAAGCAGCACACACAACGCATGCCGCAGCAGTCAGTCCCACGGGGAACACGCAGCAGTGAGTGCTGTGAAACAAGCCCCAGGCCGCATGGGGAAGACGCGGCAGTGAGTGCTGTGAAACAAGCCCCAGGCCGCATGGGGAAGACGCAGCAGTGAGTGCTGTGAAACAAGCCCCAGGCCGCATGGGGAAGACGCAGCAGTGAGTGCTGTGAAACAAGCCCCAGGCCGCATGGGGAAGACGCGGCAGTGAGTGCTGTGAAACAAGCCCCAGGCCGCATGGGGAAGACGCAGCAGTGAGTGCTGTGAAACAAGCCCCAGGCCGCATGGGGAAGACGCAGCAGTGAGTGCTGTGAAACAAGCCCCAGGCCGCATGGGGAAGACGCGGCAGTGAGTGCTGTGAAACAAGCCCCAGGCCGCATGGGGAAGACGCGGCAGTGAGTGCTGTGAAACAAGCCCCAGGCCGCATGGGGCCGGCAGAACAATTGGCAGCGGGGGAGAATGCTTAAGAACCAGTTCAGGGATTTATAGTAAAAGACAGCCTGGTTAGCAAAACGCGAGAGAGTATGCACTGGTGAGCGTGCTTGCTGGTTAGCAAGCAGGCGTGGGATTGTGTGGAGAATGGGCGACAGAGAGCAGGGGCACGTGGGTGGGCTTACAGGGTTGGTCTGTTGCAGCTGCTCAACCGTGATGCGGAAGGTGAGCGCCAGGATGCCACACGTCATGCCTTCCATGGGTGATGAGGCTTGCTGGTTAGCATGCATGGGCTTGCATGCATGGGCTTGCATGCATGGGCTTGCATGCATGGGCTTGCATGCATGGGCTTGCATGCATGGGCTTGTGTTGAGTGTGGGCGACAGAGAGCAAGGAGAAGAGTGCGCTTACAGGGTTGGTCTGCTGCAGCTGTTCCACTGTGATGCGGAAGGTAAGTGCCAGCATGCCACACGTCATCCCCTCCACCACCCGCACTCTCCGCACCCCTGCACTGCCCCCACTGCCGCTGCTGCCACTTCCGCTGCCGCCACTGCCGCTGCCGCTGCCACCACCACCGGCGCCGGGGGTGTCCCAGTAGTTGGTGGGGGGCGGTGGGGGCGGCACGACGCAGGTCTGTGTGCCGTCCGTGTTGTTGGTGCGCTGGGTGGGCGGCGGGCACAGACAAGAGTAGCCGCCCGGGCTGGTCGTGCTGTCAATGCACGTGCCCGTGTCACACGGATTCACCATGGAAAACCCACAGCGCCGCGCTGCAAGGGGGGGGTGAGTGGCGAGGGAGAGGGCCGTGGGTGACAAAAGGTTAAAGGGGGTTGAAGGGCAGCCTCCTGAGTGGGTGGTGCTGTTGATGCACGTGCCCGTGTCACACAGATTCACCATGGAAAACCCACAGCGCCGCGCTGTGGGTGGGATGGGTGGGGGTGGGTGGAGGAAAATGAGGCACTACAGGCGCACCCATCCCACACCAAGATGAGGCACTACAGACTTCACCTGCACACAACTGCTCCCAATTGCTCTCTTCCTTCAACTCACCCAGCGCACACGACTGTGAACCATCGATGTTAACTGTCATCCGGAACCCCTCCGGGCACTCGCACGTGTTCCTCCCCGTCCCCGCATCCACACCGCACGTGCCCCCGCCACAGGGGTTGATGGGAAAGCATGGATCGGGGGTGGTGATGACCGGATAGAGGCCCGGCATGGAGTGAATCCCGCATATCCCGTCCCCCCCTGCCATGGCCAGGCGCATGACGCCCCAGCGGCCCCACCAGGAGCCCCAGCTGTTGAGAACGATCCAGTGCGGTGTAGGGTCGGTGAGGTCGTAGCCTATAACGAGTACAGAATGGTCCACTAGGCCGTTGAGGAAGCAGGAGGGGTCCGAGTAGATGAAAGACTGGTGGGGAGAGGAGGGGTGGTGGGGACGGAAAGGGGGGAGGAAAAGGAGGTAAGAGATTCACATGGACGAAAGAGAAGGGAGGAGGAAACAGAAAATCAAGAAGCGTACGGAAAAGCGAAGAGGAATCGTAACACCCACCAAGCACAACTCACCCCATCGTATTGAATGAAGGAAGGCTGGTCCGCCTCTACAGCCGCCACCACGGGCTGTCGCTGCAGCGCCAGGATCATTCCCAAATAC